TACTTGTTTCTTGTTAACTTTTAGCTCAAAGCACCACCACTATATGCTCCTCCCACATCCTATCGAGATTTAATGCTTTAACACTTTCTCCTGTTTGACTTTCTCACTTTTTTAGTTGATTTTGTTTCTATGCTTTCATTGTTTTATGCGATTGTTAATGACGCTTCTGCGATTGTGGTGTATTATAGAGAAGAACAACAATAAAAGCTTAAATATAAAAAAAAGAACAGCTACTTCATCCACCAACCTACATTGAAAAATCATTCACTTACGAAATTACTCTCTGAAATAAAAATGGCAAGGTGTAACTGCAACTGAAATTACGCAAATCGCTTTCGAGAAATAATTTCAACTTGCTCGTGCTGCACTAGCAATTTTCACTTTGGCTGCAAGCGCTGTCCAAAATTTGAAAGAAAACTTTCAACAGCAACGGGACTGATTTTTAAAAACACTTGGTCAACGGGGCCAGCTAGAGCGAAAATAAATGTATTTTGTAACAGGGCTTTAATCGAAATACCAAACAAAAAACAATAATTTATTTCGCTTTTGGACTAGGTAGTATTCAACCACCAAAATGGCTGATAAGCTAATCTTGGAAGTGACCCCATCCAGTTGTGACTCTTTAATTGGCTGTGCTAACGATTGGTCGGTAGGTAGGCTGTGTAGTTTTGGGAGGTAGCCAAGCTATACGCCACGGAGGATGAAGGATCTACCCCTTCGCTCACTTGCGCTTGACTGGCTCTCTGTACCGGAGAAATGTATACTGCAGCCAAAACTATCTGGCGCATGACTAAAGGGTTATCAGGCTCAAAGTCCCTCGGTTCTCTCGCCTATGCAAAGGGTGTAATCAATTATGGTTTCCAAGGGGTGGTCCTCAGTGTCTTCTAAGCCGATAGAAGAAGGAATGGTCCTTAGCCTCGGGAGTCAACCATCGGGAGAATAGAAGGTATCGGTCCTGCTAGGCGCACAGGAATACGGGTGGCACGTCCGCATTCGAGAGTGCCGAAGACGAGAGCACGGAGCTAGCGCTGATGGGGGCTCTCTTAAATGTGACACTCTGAAAGCCATTATTTTATCTAATTTCTGAAATGGAATCATGGTGAAATTGCTCAATCTCATAGTAATAATTTTTAGCAGTGGCTCAAAACGTCCACCTTTTGATCAAAGTGTAATAGGAAGGGCCGTTGATCGCCCACCTAGTTACCTGGCTCAGGTAACCTTGAGGTACATCAAAAAGGGTGTATAGAAATCGTCCCTTAATCAAAAGTTCCACATCATCTACATAGGCGATTAGTCGACAGCCCACTTTTCCAGTTCCTCTAGAAGGTCGTTTACAACCGCAATCCAGGGCAGGGGAGAGAGAACACCACCTTGCGGAGTGCTCACATTGACTCCCCCACTCCGTCGCGACAGTTCTGTCATAAAGTAAGCTTATTAGGTTGGTTTGAACCCCCATATTATGAATATACTTGACTATTGCTTCTGGAGTGACATTGTTGAAGGCCCCCTCGATTTCGAAGAGGCTCCTACTGCATAAACTTCCTGCGTGAAGGCTTCCTCTGACGACTTTACCACTGTGTGCAGGACGGTATTCACCGACCTTTTCTTGCAATAAGCATATTGAGCTCTTGAAACTGATAGGCCTAAAATCCCGAGGAGAAACATGATAACCCTTTCTAGCCTTCGGGATGAACGCAACACTGACTACCCTCCAAACCTTGGGGACGTACCCGGTGACTGTACTTCGAAGTACAAGAGCGAAAAAAGAGGTACTGTACTTCCGAAAGAAGTACGGTTGGTCACATTTGGTATGACGGACGAGTGCTTGAAAGAGTATTTTTTGAAATTTTATTTGCTTTTTTCTTACTGTGGCGGTTACTTTGAATTATTTCTAATACCAGTCAGCAGTCAAGCTAAACTAAATTAACTTGTGCATTTAAATTTGAAGCGTTAACAACTGGTCTTAAATTTGCAATTAAAAATGGGCATAGTATACGATGGATGGTCAGAAGGGTCAAAGCAGCGAGAAAATTGCATTTACACTACTTTTACCCTTTCCTTTTTTCTGTTGTTTCGTTCCATCGACTTGTATGCATAGTAGATTTGTTTACGTGTATGTTTGCCGCGCTTTTTTGCAGGTGGGGTTAACTTCAATTCTACCCTTCCACGTAACATGTTCTCAACTCGGAATTTTTAATTCAAGAAATTGCGGTTAATTCGGGTAAAATTATGCCCTCCGGCCAGTGTTGGTACTTTTTAAGCGCAAACGGTTTATTTCCTGTGTACATTTATTTATTTATTTGAAGTGTTTGTCGTTAAAACTGTTATTACTTAAAACTCTTGTTGTTCTACGATTTCTGTTCCTTTAATAAATGCATAAATGAAAAATGTGCGTTGAAAGTGGGAAGAAGCACTTGTGGTGTGGTCAGCTGATTAAGTCAAGTGAGATTTTGCCTAGTTTTGGCTATTTTTCTTTTAAACATTTAACAAACTTTAACAATTACACCCAAAAATTTTAAACTTTGTATTTAGATTTTTTACAAAAATTTTCGTTATGCAGTTTTGAAGCTTTAAAATTTTCATTGTGGCGTATTAATGTTTATTTCAATAGTGTTATTGATCTTTGTACCGCGATTTGTTTATTAGGAATAATGAAAAAAATAACAAAGATTAAACGGTCTCCTCATCAGACTTCTCTTTTCTAGACTTTCAGCGGGGATCGAAACCGCATCATCGATGTGCAAAGCTTCTGGCTTCTGGAGCTAACCACTTATTCAACCTAAAAAAGAAGTCCGATGAGGAAGTGTGGTAATCTCCGAAATAGCTGCTATAACTTCTATCGCTTAAGCTTTGTTGTTTTTTCCATTTTTCCTAACTAAAAAATCGTGAAACAAAGCTCAATAACACTATTAAAATAATCATCAATACGCCACAATGAAAATTAGCAAATTCATATTTCATTTCGTTTCATTGTTGTAATTGTTTTACTAACATTTAATTTTTTTTATTTACCTTGGTTTGTTTGTTTTTATCACCCATTTATCACTGAAATAAAATGCAAATACAGAAAACATCCCCAACAAATTAATAAAAAAAAAAAGTTGTTTGATGTTGCCATAAAGCAGCCCTGATACGAGGTTACCAAATGTAAACGCTAAAAAGCTTACCTTCGAGTGTTACAAAAGGTAGACGTCGTCGTTTTACAATTTTGTATATGAAACAACAACACGACAGACATTTCGCTTAGAAAACGTCCCAAAATATTGACGTCAACCCGTTTTGAAAACAAGAAGATTGTCTCTATGAAAAGTTTCTGGGGTAAAACAGGCAAGATTCCTTACTGATTTTATGTAAAATTGCTAATTATTTTATTAATAAGATTATCATTTAAAAATTAAAGATAAAACTGCTGGATTTCATCATTTAAAAAGAAACACTCTTTAATTTTATGAAATGTCTTTTTGAATTTATTGAATATTTACACCCTTCAGCACAGAAGAGACTATATCTACACGCCGCGACAAACGATAGCACATCAACATTTTTACAAGTTTTTACCAATTTTCTTTCGATTTTTTTAAGGTTCATTATTTTTGTATAAAAGTATAACTCCTTATCTAACAAACACCATATAAATCTAAATTTCAGACTTTCTTACAAAAATTATAAACATTCCACAAACTTTTCATCCCAATTCCATGCATTTTAATTTTAATTTCTAGAATAATTTTTGGTATGCAGTTTTATAGCTTCATATACATAGCTACCTACCACCAGCGTAGCCGTTGAGAATTTGCAGAAAGTCGCAAAAAAGGGGTAATTGCCCAAAAAAAGGGTCACCATATTATTTTTGCTTTCTTTACGTTGCGAATGAATAAATCTGAGTTCCAAAGTCAAAATCAAATTTACATGTATTATAAAGTCTTTTCGCCGCTAGAACGTTCCACTGTTTCAATTCAAAATGAAAATAGTGGGACAAGCCTTGAACAAAACACAGAAATCCAGTTTCTGCAAGAAAATTCGCTTGTCCTTTAAAAGTTTTAAGTGATGATTTTTTTCATACTTACAGGAGGAAATATTTTTCAATAGCATGGTTCTGTTAACATTTCCCCCAAAAAAAAAACATCTCTGAAAAAGAGCAAAAGTCGCACATAATTTTGGAAAAGGGTCGAAAAATCTAAATTTTCAAAAAGTCGGATCAAAGGGTATCGGCACCTTATAAGGGTTAAATTTCTTCTTTAGTCGCGCAACGGCAACACTGTCTGCCAACACAGATACTTATGTACATATGTAAGAGCGCAGAGGAACTCTTATAGTTTTCTTTTGACGCAAATACTAAATAATTAAAACGCACTTATCAATTAAATAGATAAACAAATGTCAAAGCATATAATTTCTTATATGGGAACTCAAACTTAGAGATCCAACAGGCAGGCAAAGCATTCACTATGTTCGCAAATCACATTTTAATTGAAAACCGCGCACTTCACACCTTACAAATAATTATCTCACTGCATTAAAAGTAATCGAGTTTCAATTTCTCATACATAGTAGTTAACATATGTTTGGCCGAATTTCTCCTTCAAAAGGTTTTTTTATGAGCAGCTATATTCGACGTTTCGCTATTGCCCGCCGACAAACGACTGTTAATAGATTTGATATCGAACTTGTGTCCTGCCGAGTGAAACCACACTTTTCTAACCACTCGAACATGGCGGTCGCCTTTTGTACTTTCACCTATAAAAACTAACAATGATGAACAGAGGAGTACAGTTCTTTGGAAAGGCGCGCCTATTCCCAACAGCGCCATGTACTTCGACACTATTGCCAATTTGCGACCATCGATACGCACGTTAACACTTTTGGGACTCTGGCCCGTCAAAAATGGCACTGGCGCAAAGTTCGAGCAATATTATCGATATTATCAGCTTTTATTACAAGTTTCATTCACTTTCATTCTTACCACGCTAATGTGGCTGGAGGTAATTTTTATTCACAATATGGAGTATGCCAGCGAAGTATTGAAGATTGCACTTTCTGAAACGGTAGTTGTCCTAAAAGTTCTCAACATTTGGCGTTTTGCACCTAATGCGGCAAAGTTGCTGCATGAATGGGAGCAGAGTGAATTTTTCGTGCCTCGCACGCCACAAGAACAATTAATGTGGCGACGTGCGCAAAACGCTTACAAAAAAGTATTGGCTTTTTATAGGATTTGGAGCATAATTTGCGTGCTTTTAGCTTTCCTGTCAGTTGTTTTCATGGAGACACCTCAGCTACCAGTTCCGTATTGGATTCCAATCAAACATTGGCGAGAAGGCAATGGCTGGCCGTTATATTTGTATGATTTCGTAGCCGTGATATTCACTTGTTGTTGCAATATTGAAATAGATTCTTTACAATGTTATTATCTATTGCATTTAACACTTTGTTTGCGGCTCATCGGTTTAAGAATGGCGCGCTTGGAAGATGCAGGCGATGATGTGGAAATTACCAGCGAACTTCTGAAATTAATTCAAATGCAGCAGCGCGTGAAGGAGTAAGTTTTTGTTTTTTTTTGAGAAAGACCTTGAGTTACTTTTCGCTTTACTTTTATTACATTTTACGTTTAAAAAAAAAAAACAAAAAATTAGCATGCTCAAACGTTGCGAGGAGATTGTATCGCTACCTTTTCTCGTGCAAATTATATTCAGTTCGATGATTATTTGTTTTACAGCTTATTATCTGCAAAGTGTAAGTTCTCTTTGGAATTTCGAAAGCTGTTAATGCGAAATACTTTTTATTTTTTCGATGTGTTTATTTAGTTAAGTTTCAGCAATAATCCAGCCGATTTTGTAGCTATGGTACAATATGGCTTTGTCATGTCTTTGCAAATATTTTTGCCATGCTATTATGCCAATGAATTGACGGCGGAATCACTAAATTTGAGTAAGCAACTTTACAGCTGCAATTGGACGGACATGTCTGCCTACAATCGCCGTTTAATTTATCTCTATATGCAAGACTTAAAGCAGCCAATTGCGCTGCGTGCAGGAAGCTATTTCGAAATCGGACTACAAGTTTTTTCAAAGGTACTTCCGAGTTTTCTTGCACTTAACGGGTCTTAAAAACGTTGTTGTTTCTTCACTTTCAGACTATGAACAACGCTTACACTCTACTGGCGCTTTTGGCGAACGTCGCCGATGAGGATGAGTAGAATGGGTGTGCATACATATGTACACATAACTTAACATATGTATGTATATTTACATGAACAGGGCCGTCGAGAAAAAATCCAAGCCCGGAAGGTGAATATGTTCCGGGCTCCCCTCCACAAAATAATATTTGCTTTTTAAATGAATTTTCAACGTTTGCCCTCTATACTTAGTCAGTGATGTTTTTCTTAGTTTGTGGTGTATAATTTTTTTATTTTTTTTTAACTTGGTCTATCAGGTTAAATCGGTATTTTCAAAATGAGTTCAAAAATTTAAAATGTAACCACATATTTATGAGAATATTAAATAATTTTTATTTTCCAACTTAATTTAAAAATACTTGGCGTCATGGTTTAAAGAATTATGTATCATCATATTTTTTATGAGCACGAAATGGCTTTATAACTTTGGTCCGATGTTTGTAAGTACCAGAAGAAGAAGAGATAGACCCACGAAAATGCATACTTATAACGTCGAGCTGAGCCGATTTAGCCATATCCGTCTGTCCGCCTGTTTGTAAGCGATCTATTCCCTCAGTTTTCGGGTTATTCGAATGCAATTTGTTAAGTGAGTGTATTTTTAAAATGTATTAATCATTTGCCAAAACCGGAAAAATCGTGTAAAGGCCCGTAAATCTTCCGCAAAATCTTTCTCTCGAATACTGCAAGAGCCACCTCATCGGATGTTGTCATTGTGCATCTTTCTGAGACATATACCAACACGAGCATGATGAGTGGCTTATAGCGTGTGGTTTTCGTACGTCGAGAGAGTACTTTACTCCTGAATTGCCTACTCAGTCAAAATTAGGAAAGAGTGATTCTGCGTTGAATTTTCCATGCTGACATTATTATCGGTATTCATTCTGGTTCCCAAGTAAACGAAATTCTCTACTTTCTCGAAATTGTAACTGCCAACAATGACGTGGGTGCTAAGGCGCGAATGTGCTGACTGTTTGTTTGATGACAGGAGATACTTCGTCTTGCGCTCGTTTACCACGAGACCCATTCGCTTTGCTTCCTTATCTAACTTGGAAAAGGCAAAACAGACTTCGCGGTGCTTGTAACCGATGATGTCGATGTAAATTGTTCCTGAGCGGTTCAGTTCTGCAGCTCTTATTATCTTCTCCAACATCAGATTAAAGAAGTCACATGAAAGGGAGTCGCCCTGTCTGAAACCCCGTTTGATGGCGAACGGCTCGGAGAGGTCATTCCAAATTCTGACGGGGCTGGTGGTATTGCTCAACGTCATTTTACACAGCTTCTTTTCGTGCTGTCGAAAGCGGCTTTGAAATAGACAAATAGATGGTGCGTGTCGATCCTATGCTCGCGGGTCTTTTCCAATATTTGGTGCAATGTGAATACCTGATCTATGATGGATTTGCCCGGTCTAAAGCGTCGCTTATAAGGTCCGTTCATTGACGGTGGGTTTCAGTATTTCACACAATACACTCGATAAGACCTTATAACCTATGCTTAGAAGGCTGATTCCGCGGTAGTTGGCGCGAATGACGCGGTCGCCTTTCTTTTCGCTTGAGCAGAGCACACTTAAATTCCAGTCGTCAGGCATGCGTTCATCTGACCATATTCTGCATAAGAGTTGATGCATGCACCTTATCAACTGCTCGCCACCGTACTTGAATAGCTTTGCTCCCAGGCCGTCAGCTCCACCAGCTTTGTTGTTTTTTAGCCGCATAATTGTTATTCGCACCTCGTCATAGTCAGACGGTGGAGCATCCACTCCGTCCTCATCGGGCTCGTGTCCGTCTTCTCCACAACTTTCAGCGCTGCTTCATTCAGTACAGTGGAATAATGTTGCCTCCATAATTTAAGTACGTTTAGGACATCGATCACTAGGTCGCCATTGTTGTTCTTACAGGAGTTCACCCTGGTCTTGAAACCTTCCGTAAACCGCCTATCTCTCTGGTAAAATTTTCGGGCGTTTTTCCGGTCGACCAGTATCTCAAGCTCTTCACATTATATTTAATTCATTTTTAGGTTCGCTATCAAGATTACTATATACCGCTTCAAAGCAAGATATCTGAGGAATAATAAGGGCCTGTGCGAGTTTAAGTTTTGTGTTGATGGGTAGACAGTAACATTTTTGTCACAGATTACTTAAGATGTAATATACCTTCGATATGATACATATAATTAATGTGATCTGTGCAACTTAAATGGGAATTTATTTTAAATCCATGGCTAGGCACAACCGATTGAAGTGTGATCTCTGTATCGTTCAGCATAATTGGCGACGAACCACTCAGGTCAAAAGTCTCGTGCGCTATTTGTAGTGCCTGCGTTTAGGCAAAGGTCATTTGCTTTGGCCCAGATGGATGCCAAGTCTTCCCAAAGACCAATAGAACGTGAGAGGTATATCTGGGTGTCGTCAGCGTAAATATGGATAGAGGCATTTTGACAGCAATGAGCAATGTCATTCACTAAAGATGTAAAAAGTATCGGACCAAAAATTGATCCCTGAGGTACACCAGAAGAAATTTTACTGTGTTTCGAAAAGATATTTCCACATTGCACTTTTTGTACCCTATTCGATAGGTAGCTTTTCATCAAATTAATTGATGTCGCGTGAAACCCGAAATAATGTTGAAGTTTCAATAGCAAAATATCTTTGTTTATAGTTCGAAAGCTTTAGAGAAGTCCAGTATGGTAAGTAATTTGTTATCAAAAGCGGGGCGGAAGTCGTCCATTACCTTTATTATTGCTGTGTTTAGAGATACATTTTTCAAAGAATCTTAATACTGCCGACAAAACACTGATGGGTATATTATTTTAAGGGGAATCATAAATTTTAAAACCCGACATCCGAGTTTACTATTTTGGCCCCTCTCTTCATACCACGGCAAATACGTGTCGCTTCCCTCTTCAGTTCCCTAAAGTGGTCCCACAATTCTCGCGTTGCGTCCGATCGCAACTTGGCCTTGTAGGCGGCATCTTTTTTCTCTGCAGCTTCCTGACACTCCTCATCGCACCAGTTGTTCTTTCGGGCTCGCTGAAATCCGACTTCTTCCACGGTGCTACTTAATGAACGGGAAATTTGTTTCCACTGCTCGCATATGTCGGTTCGTTGAAGAGTGCTCTCTGAGAGCAGGTGTGAGAGTCGAGTAGCGAATGCATTGGCTATCTGTTGTGATAGCAGCTTTTCGACGTTAAGCTTTCCTTGCATTTTTGGGCGCACATTTTTTGCTGCACAGAGACGATGTTTGGCCCTCGGAGTGTACGTACGTCTAAAACACTGGAAGCGTACCTTCCGCCTATCACAACATGATGGATTTGGTTTCTAGTTTTTCGATCTAGAGACTGCCACGTAGCTTGATGGATCTTTTTATGCTTGAACCTAGTACTCGATACTCCTCTATGTACGTAGTGAATAGACAAACTTTAAGAATACAGTAATCGGCGGAAGTAAAAGTCTGATGTCCATGAAAGGTGAGTAGCCTTCGGCATAACCGAAGACAGTCCTACTTCTACCTGACTCGACAGAACCGACTCTTAAAATACTTGGAACCGCACAGAAATACGGTATTAACTCTACAATCCAACCTTTATGGCCGTAGGTAAAAAGAATGGAGTATGTATAATTATATTCGCTGTTTTCGCAAATAATTTATTGCAGTTTTGCCCTGAACTGCATAACCTGCTAATACTGTCACCTATTCCCTATGAATATAGTTCTTGGAAGTTCATCAACTATTTCGTTACATAATATCGGTTTGCAACCATGCTGTGAATGTTGACGAGGTAGAGTGAAAACCTTTTGGGGTCTTCACTACTACGAACGAATACACAATTACAATTGATACACAATGTTAGTTGAAGCCAACACTGCATTCCTTTGAATAATTTGACATTTTCTAAACGCATACGCAAGAACATCTGTGTACATTAGGGTGGTCCAAAGCAAGTAAAATCGGAATTTTAACGATCTCACCCCCTAGGATTATCCTATATCGAAAAAATATACCACTATTTTATTATTTTGAAATCAAAAAATATTAAAAGGGCGCTCAAAGCGCTTAAAGTTCTCCATGTATTTTATATAAAAAAAAAAACTTTTCGTGAAATTTAATAGAATTCTTGAAAAATCGATATTTTTCGATCGGAAAACTCTGGTTCTCTTCAGCAGACTTCCAATAACAATACCCAATTTTTTATTTAACCATCTTTTCATAGTAACTATATTTTATAAGTCCGTCAAACTCCCCAGAAAATCCAATGGGGGATAATGAAAAACTCTTTAATATATTATAAAAAATTTTTTGGTTTCAAAATAAAAAAATATGGGTATATTTTTTCGGTATATAACAATCTTAGGGGGTGAGAGCATTAAAATTCCGACATTACTTTTTCACATGCATTTTTGGACCACCCTTATGTGTACATAATTGCATTTTAATTGAAAATCACTTAACCCAACGCTGCTTATTAAGTCATTAGGAAAAATTCAATTTTTGCGAAGAAATACGCCCAACAGTTAAGCAGCTAATTGTCTAACCCGATTACGGCTATAAGAAGCTCAATTTCTCCGCAAAGAAGTACAGTTAACTGATATAACCGCTCCATATTAACTCGCGTCATGTCCTTCGATACAATTGCCAATTCGCGTTTTTT